CCCACCGACAGTTAAGTTGGTGTAAGAAGAAGGGCTTAATTGCTTTGATCCCAGAGTTCAAGGGCTTATATGCATCAATTAAAGTCTAAGGGCTTAATAGTGATTCTGGGATTAGTTCAGGGGATTAACTTATGGTTTTGCCTAAGAGAAGTAACATCCATGTCATTGATAATAAAAAGGTGTAATGAACACCTTTATTTCATAATAATAATTATTTTTTTAGTAGAGAAATTAATTTTTTTATTTTTAAATATAAAATAAATATTAAAAATTTTCTATTAATTAATTTGTAATTATGACTTATCAAATCTTTGTTAAATAAGAAAATTAGTTAGCTATACATTAACTAACAAAAAATAAAAAATAAAAGAAATGAATAAGTTAATGTTAAAACTATACATAAAAAAAAATTAAAAGTAAAAATAAAAGTGGATAAGTCTCAGCTTAATCCTACAAAGAATCAAACTTTCAACAGAAAAGGTGCTGGTTAGCGCCGAGTCAAATAAAGAAATGAATGTAGTAATGTTTTATTAATTTTATATATGCAGAAGTAATATTCATAAATTGAACATTGAAAAAATTATGTATATTCATAGTATCATTCCAATTTTAACTTGGCTGATATACCAGCCAATTTCAGTTCCAAATAGCAGGTAATTGTGTGGCAAAAAAATTACAAAATATTATAAAATAAAAAGAAAAGTGGTAAGATGACAAATGAAAAGGAGAGAGTTTCTTATTTCACCAAATATTCTTCCACATACAAACATACAAATTTGTAAGCCTATATATAGGCTAAGGAATATAGGGGGGTTGCAATTGCCATTAAATAAGATTAAATGACAAAATGAATGGCATTTTAATGGACTTGTTACATACCCATCTTCTAATATAAACTAGGAGGAATGCTTTGTTCATTTACAAAGAAATTATCAGGGTCAACTACGGCTTTTACCTTCGTAAGTCTCTGAAAATTACCCTTGAAATACTTGATCCCATAAATTCGACCCTCTTTCAAATCCTTCTTCTTACTAAAATCGCTACGCTGGCCAATATCAAGATCCCTGTAATTGAGAAATGCCTCCCTTGGCTCACTCGAGACGTATGGAGTCATTGCACTATACAACTCTCTACTAGCTTCGATGCGATCATTGGTAACATTTTCAAGACCCCAAGTCATACCATACTGAATTTTGAACAGATTTCCTGCTCTATGTGGAAATGGGGTTTCGGATTCCGGTATCTCACTCATTCTTCCTCCATAAGGATTCCATTGCATGAAAGTGATCCCCGCCTTTATCGCCAACTTCCAAATATGTTCTAAACTCTCCTTGGGAATCACCTTTTTAACATAATCAGATTTCCCCTTGTAAAAGTCTGCTGGCCCTTGTGTCAATGTCCTGTTGTAAAAAACTTCATAACTTGTTCCTTCCGGGTATCCATAAAAGAGCAGGGTTGAATTCAGCCAGCTCATTTCCTTGCAATCTTTTTGAGTTAAATTCAATTCAGGGAAACTTTGATTCGTCAGCTGAAGAAGTGCATCAGTCTGTCCTAGGAACAAACCCGTGAAAGTAGCTGTTATAGTTCCATTAGCACTTGATATTGTTGCTCTTATGAAGAGATCCCCTGGTAGTTTAGGGGCAACTTCTTGCCAACGGTGAACGACATCAGTTGCCCCTTGTGTTGAGGTAATAGGAACATTGAACATTGTAAGTATGGGTGGGATTCGAACCAATTTAATTTTCCATGAAAGGATGACCCCGAAGCTAGCTCCACCTCCTCCTCTAATGGCCCAAAACAGATCCTCTCCCATGGATGCTCTGTTCAGGACTCTCCCATTGACGTTTACAATCTGTGCATCTATGATGTTATCAACAGAGAGACCATATTTCCTCATCATGGCACCGTATCCACCTCCGCTGAAATGACCTCCAGTTCCGAGTGTAAGGCAAACCCCAGCAGGAAAAGCATGGACTTTGCTTGTAGTTGCAATTTTGTAGTAGAGTTCACCCAGGGTGGCTCCGGCTTGGACCCATGCAGTCTCCTTGGCAATATCGATATCGATGGATCGAAGATTAAACATATCAAGGATGACGAATGGGACCTTGGATACATATGAAAGGCCTTCGTAATCGTGGCCTCCACTTCGGATCCTGATCTGCAGGCCATGGCTCTTTGCACAAATAACAGTTGCCTGGACATGGGATTCATGCAGGGCTGTAATAATTGCAAGAGGTTTAGGAGTTTCAAGGGTTGTAAATCTGAGGTTTCTGGTATATGCTCTCAAGACAGACTCGAAAGACGAATTACCGGCAATGTAAATGGCTCCGGAGATGGGATGAGAAGGATTAGAGTTAATAGGAAGGCACTGGAGAAAATTTTGAAGAGCAGGATATGATGATGCACATGAAAGGAAAGCCAAGAAGACTGAAATTATGGAGATGACTGTTCTTGAACCTCCACCTTCCATTTTCAGTATCTTGATTGCAGGTTGATTTACCCCTTAATTTTGGCCTATTTATAGCGGAAATCTCAGAGCAACAGATTTTGGAGACTGCATAGCCATTCATCAAGTCTTATCCTATACAGGTTACGTCTAAAATTCAAGTTTTGGCACTGACAGCGAAAAAAATTAATTGTTTTAAATGCATTAGATTTTGGGTCAATATAAGATGTGCCGTCTGAAAATTGTTTGGGATGATTAATTTTGATATATATAAAAAGTTGGCTTGAAATAATCCCTAACTTTAAATTAAAAAAAAAAAAAAGAATCTCTATAATTTATTTATTTTTTTAGTTATGAAAACAGGCATAATAACTTTATATGAAACTGCATCTCTAAGATCTTTGCAGTAAACCAGTTAAAAGCTTGTGTAATTGCAGCTCATTTGATCGGGCTTGTATTCTCAATCGAAAAGTGTATGTCTGCTGTAAGTGGATTTTAATTGTCTCCTCTCTCTTCATATATATATATATATATCACGACTTTAAAAAAAATTAAAATCTTAAGTTTAAAATATATTATTTTATTTAATTAAAATTTAATTTAAAAATTAAAAATCTACCTTATTAAATGTTAATATTTAAATTTAAAAATTAGTTAGATTAGAATGTATAATTGATTTATGAATCTAAATAATAACATTTAATATAGTAGATTTTTAAATTTTAAATTAGAATTTTAATTTTTAAATATATGTAAAGACTCTAATTTTTTTTTTTAAGTCAAGACTGATGTGTATTAATTTTTATAATATTGTATATAAATTGTACAAAATACAAATATTTTGAGTTAAGAACAGTACAAAATTTACAAAATTTTAAAAATATTCATCTTAAACAAACATTAAAAAATTTATGAGGTTTTACCCTTTGTCATTGGATAAAAATAGTTGACTTATTTGTAATTGATAATATAATTTTAAATTTTGAATATATTAATTTTGAATCTCCTCCGTTTTCACCAATTATAAAAAAAAGTTATGTACTATGTGATCCAATAACAGAGTGTCTAAAGGAAAATATCAAAAAAGTGTTGTTAGTTACTCCATTTATTTAGACGTTTTGCAAAGTTGCATATGTATTAGGAAAAATAATTAATAGCCTTAATTACATAAATTTATAAGGTAATACATTTTTGGACATTACCCTTTTCATTGTCCATCTCAAAAAATAAAAATTCCTTTCACATGCACACCGGGTAGTATTCCATAATAAATTTTAAAATTTGAAAGTCCAAATTACATGTCCGTAGTTCAAGACAATTGCTGGGATGAAATTGGGGGTGTATTACTTACCCGTTTAAAGTCAGCAGTTTGTTGGCTTCAAATTTGAAGATCCTAAGCACGCCCGACTTTTCTAACCAGGA